TGGGTGACATGAAATGGGATCCTAGGTTTATTCTATGTGTACATGCACATGGCTAGGGACCATGACGTTTGAAGTGTATGTTTACCAAATTTAATGAAACAAAAGGTATTTGTGTAGAGCTAACAAATGAAAAGAATAACATCAAATCTTTCTAGGTGCGAAGATCTGTGCATGCAGGGGGGGGAGGGATTGCTCCATATTCTCCAAATTGCAGTTTTGCTCTGCCACAATTCAAAGATTTAACAGAATCCTGAAAAGCTGCTTGCACTGGAATGCAGAGATGCTGCATCTGAGGAGATTAGAGAAAGATCCTGTTGCATACACCCAAGCAGATTTACTCTGGAATAAATTAAATGTTTATTCTTTTCTTTGTTGCTTTCATTTTTACAGATTAGCTGTTTCTGGATCATTTGTTTTTCCATTCTTGCTACCAGTATATGATATAGGATTGTATGTAAGTTTCAGAGGAACGTGCATTGTTCTTCTAACTTTAATAAGCTAGGGAAATGTCAGGTTAAATCTATATATCCTTCTGAATTATGGGAATGTGCTGGGTACAATAGAACGTCAAGATGTTTTTGATGCAGTATCTTCAGATTTGTTTGAGAAGGCATTTTACCTTTGGATAGTACTACAAAATGTCCTTTTACACAAAAGTGCAGCATGGTGTAAATAACTGAAAAAGATAAAGGGCATCAACTATAAATACAAAAGCATGTTGAAAAGCAACATGAAATAATAGGTGGTTTCTTTTGTTTTTCAAAAGAAACCACCTACTATTTCATGTTGCTTTTCAAAGACTAAATGAGAGTATGCTTCTATTATTCTAAAGCATTTAATTTTGAAATCGTGAGGGATGAACCTGTTGTCAAGCCTATTGATATTTAACAACCTGCTGGAGCTAATTTTTTTTTAAATAAAACTGAGGCCATATACAACGGAAAAATGGTGACCAATAAATTAGTGGGTATTTTGTTCTCAAGCAGTAATTTCACCTGTTACATTACCACCACGTTTGAAAGGGCTGCTTCATTTGATCTCTACTTCTAAAGATCCTTTTTATTACTGTGACAAAAAGTACAAATAAAAAATCCCAACCACATAAAATCTTTTAGCGATAAGGAAATAATATATTAATGTTTCTGCATTAAAAACAAATTTCTGATAGTTTCCTGAAAAAAAAATGCTAATGGCATACTTAATGGAGAATTAGAGATTTTGCATCTTTAAAAATCCTTATATGATACTGAAATCAAAGGTAGGCTCCCAGCCCTTCAGGGTTGTAGTGTGTGTCACTATAGATACTGCTTGTGCTTGTAAAGTGTCCAGTCCAACAACTTATTTCATTGAGCATTGATTCCTGTTGGATATTTAGATGAACAGAGGCAACTAAAAAGCAACTATTTTCATGTTTGGTGTCCCAGAATCCAACAAAAGGCTAATTACTATGCAGCATTATTACTGCACAGTATCTGTGTAACAGTCCTATGGCCAGCCATCTGTTTTATCCGTTGAGCAGAAACTCCTAGATACCTATGTGAAAGTCTTGCATATGGCTTATTGTGGGCTGGAGTGCTCCTCCACAACTCAGTCAGCACATACATTGAGCTTATTTTGGTGAATAAATTGACAATGAAATGTCAAGTTGAATTGTGAATAGAAATTCCTTTTTATGTGCTTAGTTGGGGCTCCTTAATGAACCAAAGACTAGATTAAAGCATTCATACCCATTGTACAGGGGTCCTGGGTGAACAACTAAGCTGATGACTATTGTGGCCATAGTAGACTTCTTGGCCCTAGTACAATGTTTCTCAGTCTTGGTCACTTTATGTTGGCTAGGGAATTCTGGGAGTTGAAGTTCACATATTTTCAAGTAGCCAAGGTTGAGAAACACTGCCCTAGTATTTAGGGCTCCTAGATAATTCAAGCAATAGACTTTAAGTAAGATAATAGTGTTTTCTCCAATAATTTTTATCTAGAATTATATCAACCTGATTGTGTGGAGTGCAGATGGATTAAAAAAAATTGAGGCTGGGTACTTTGGGCACTTGTCACTTTAAACACTGTATTTTAAATTGCTTCAAATACTGTCTTCTAGTACTTGGGCGCTATCTAACAAAATGAAATTTAATACTGAAAAAAGTAAAGTTCTACATTTAGGCAAGAAAGACCAAATGTACAGGTATAGTATAGGGGGTACCTTGCTCAATAGTAGCAACTGTGAGAGGGATCTCGGAGTCCTAGTGGACAATCATTTAAATATGAGCCAGCAGTGTGCTGCAGCTGCCAAAAAAGCCAACACAGTGCTAGGCTGCATTAACAGAGGGATAGAATCAAGATCACGTGAAGTATTAATACCACCTTACAATGTCTTGGTAAGGCCACACTTGGAATACTGCATCCAGTTTTGGTCACCACGATGTAAAAAAGATGTTGAGACTCTAGAAAGAGTACAGAGAAGAGCAACAAAGATGATTAGAGGTCTGGAGGCTAAAACATATAAGGAACGGTTGCTGGAATTGAGTATAGTTTAATGAAGAGAAGGACGAGGGGGACATGATAGCAGTGTTCCAATACCTCAGGGGCTGCCACAAAGAAGAGGGAATCAAGCTATTCTCCAAAGCGCCTGAAGGCAGGACAAGAAGCAACGGATGGAAACTAATCAAGGAGAGAAGCAACCTAGAACTAAGGAGAAACTTCCTGACAGTTAGAACAATTAACCAGTGAAACAACCTGCCTCCAGAAGCAGTGAATGCTCCAACAGTGGAAGTTTTTAAGAAGAGACTGGACAGCCATTTGTCTGAAATGGTGTAGGGTTTCCTGCCTGAGCAGGGGGTTGCACTAGATGACCTCCAAGGTCCCTTCCAACTTTATTATTATTATTATTATTATTATTATTATTATTATTATTATTATTATTATTATTATTATTATAATAATAATAATAATAATAATAATAAAAGGATGGGTTCCAGCCATTAACTACAGCAACTGAAGGAACACTTTGTTTTGATGTTATGTGTGTTTGGTTGAGAATCCAATTTTTCTAATGCCTTTCGCTCAGAGAAAGAAAATTCAAAGTTAAAAAAACTGTTGAGCTTATTGAATTCATGCCCATTGTATCCAAAGAACTCTCAACAACTAACAATGAATACAGCAAAATTATGATTTAAATTACCACATAAAATACCAACATAGGTGACAAAGGAGTGAACTAAAAATGACAAGAAATTAAGTTGGCAAGGTTGCAAAAATCCTCTCTGGAATTATTTGGTTTTTCATAGCTTTCTAAATATCACAAGTGAGGGAGACAAGTCTGATCTCCAATGGGAGGTCAATTCAAAGCAACAACGTGGCTACAGAGAAGCAGCATTATCTTGCCTTATTTTTCTTCACCTCCCACAACTCTGGAATCACCAGCTGCTTTTCCCTACAAAATCTGAAAGGCCAGCCATGCATAGCTACTATCTAACTAAAATCATGTAGCTCACCTGATAAAGATCTAGTCTCTGCTATTTTTAAATAGAACTATTTAGCCAGCACTTTTTTTTTTTTTACTGTACCTGATTTGTTGTGGTTTTAAGAGAATGGCTGCACGTTCAGCGGTAGTGAATGTTTTGCACATGGCAGGCTAGTTTCAGTCCTACCAGGGACTGAAGAGGAAGAAACACGGTAGATATGTAAATGAGGCTCTTCCAACCTGGTACAATCCAGTTGGGTTCAAAAATAAAAGACTCTTGCCCATCATCTTCCCAGAGTAATAATCAACCAGTTGCCTCTAGGCAACTCACAGTCGACAAGGGTGGAACATCAGCCATATTTTGTAATGCCAGTTGCCCAGTATCAACGAAAGGCAATGCTAATTTGGATGGCTGATCAAACGTGGTTGGTACGGTTGTGCGAGAGGCGGGTCATGGTGGTGGGTCTACTCTTTGCAGGCGCGTTTTGACCTTGGGAGTCGACGGGGATTGTGGTAGCACGGCGGCATGGTGCTGAAAAGGACAGCTCCCCGCTCGACCCCAGGAAGGAAGCGCCTCGGGTAAAAAAAAAAAAGGTGGACCACCAGCCATCACTTCGCCCCCTTTTCCGAGAGGCGCCTTCTTCACATGAAGCCTTTTTGCCGCCAGGTCCCGGATAAGACCCTGCCACTTCCCAGCCAAGGTTGAAAAGGAAGGGGGCGCTGTGGGTTGCGTTCCGCCGCGGCGAGGCAATGACCGCACCTTCCTCTTCCCTTCCAGCGCAGGGAAGAGGCCACCATCTTCCCCCCCGCCCCCCCCGTCTTGCACCCAGATGCCTGTCAAACGAGGCTTTAACGGTCGGCGATAGGCGCTCTCGTCCGCCAGCCCGGCGGTCCCTCGCTCCGCACCTCCGGAAGGAAAGCGCGCGCCTCGGCTGGCCAGGTGCGCCGGGGAAGTCCCCCTTCCACTCCTCCGCGAAAGAGCCCTTTAGGCTGCCTGGATCCCCGAAGGCTGCAAGCTTCGGGCTGGCTGACCGGAGCCGTTGGGGCTCTCGGATCGTCGCGGGGAGGTTGCACCGTCTCCCGGGCCAGCCGAGAACGACTTTTGCGACGCGTTAACCCCGGGGCCAGGCGTGTTTCTTATTTACCACGGTGGGGGGGGGGCATCCAGAGCGACGTTGAAATTCAATTTTGCAATCAGTTCGCTAGATTTATACATAACTGCGGGGTGGGGGGGGGAGAACGGCTCCCTCGGGGGGGGGAAAACCCCCCGTTTCTTCTCAATCTCTTTCGGCGTAGCGGGCGGGGAGGGGGGGGAAAAACCCCGTTTCTTTTATTCTACCTGTTCTCACTTTTCAAGCATCAAATAAATCTCCGGGTCTACTCGCAGCAGAACCAAACGGCCGCTTTGGCGGAGAGAAAGGTGGACGTTCAGTTGCGCGCGCGCGCGCTCGCGCGCTCGCTCTTCACCTCCCCTCGCAGAACCCGCCCTGGCTGTCTGTCCCTCGCCACGTGACCCGCTCTGTCCAATGGTTGGTCGGGGCGGTGGGGATCCGGCTGGAACCGGTTGGGCCGCGTCCGGCTCTATATAAAACTTTATAAACACCCGATTCAAATTAGTGGGGTCGCGAGCTACACGAGCGAGCCCAACAAACGGGATCCCCTTTCCCCCCCTCCTTGTTTTTATTTTCCGTCCTCCCTTTCTGCGCGGCTTTCCCTCCCAAACATCCGAGTTTCTCCTTCCGCCTAGAGACCTTGCCTTTCTCGTTTCAATCCGAGCCGCCTTCTCGCTCTCCCTCCCTCACGCGCCGCTGACATGCCCAAGAGAAAGGTACGTGGCTGCGGCGAGGGAAAACAAAAAACAAAAAAAAAAAACTTAAGGGCCCGGAGGCGAGAGGGGCGAAGGGGAAGGAGAGGGAAGAATTCGTGTACTTGAAGGGAGGGATGCTTATGCGGGGGTGAGCTTTCAGAGCAGACGCCATTTTCTTTCTCTTCTTCTCTACTCCCTACCCGCGCTCGATCGCTGGCTCGCTCCCTTTCCCTCCCCCTCCGCTTCGTTCGCCTTCGGGCGATTAACGGTCGTGAGACGAGGGGGGGGGGAGCGCGTGCGCGCGAGCGAGCGAGACGGCTCAACGGTCGTCTTCGGGACTTAAAAAAGTGGGGATGGAGGAGGGGGCGGAGCTTAGGGAAAGCGACCGTTAACCGCCGCGCATTTTTGGTGGCCTATGAAGGAAAGGCGGCGCGCGGGGGGAGAGGGGGGGGGCTTTGACTTTGCGAGCGACTCTACAGCGAAGCTCCGTGCGGGGCGGGGTAGTTGTGACAAGAGAGCGCGAGACGGGCAGCGCGCGCGCAGAGAAGCGCGAGAAAACGCTTAATTATTGGCTGCCCCTTCGCCCGCGCGCTCGCCTTGCCCGCCAATCGAGAAGGGGCACGCGCCGATTTAGGCGCGGAGGTGGGGGGGGGAGAAGAAGGGAGGGAAGTAGTCCAGTTGAAGAGGGAAAAGAAAGCGAGGCGATCGGTTCGCCTCTTTTTTTTTTTTTTTTTTTTTGGCGGGAGGGCCGTTGACCGGAAGGAGATCCACATGCACCGTCCGTTGAAGGCGGCGGGAAGCAGGAGGGCGCCTCGTTTCGCCTCCTTCACCCGCTTAAATAATGAGGTTGTGCCGTGTTTTCCTCTCCACACACACACACCCCACACACACACACACACGTAAATTCAAAAAGGGCGGGAAGACCGTAAGATGGACTCTCTCGTTCCAAGCCCTCTTTAAAGGCCTTGTGGATTAGCGAGGGTGCCTGATAAATGATGCCTTTTTTTGCCCAGCGGGTAAATCTTGCCCCTCACACCTGTTGTCGGAAGCCCCTATTTGCTGTTTAAAATGAAGGAAGTCTAGGCTGAAGCCATTTAGTTTTCAGAGCAAAAGCATCAGCGCAAGGAGTGACTATTGCAGCATGCTCTTGTTTTGACTTGCTTGCCTTGTAGTTCATATCTTCTGCAAGAAGCATTCTGAGTTTCATTTCCTAGCTACGTGTTGGGGAAGAGGCTGCCTGAGTAAAGGAAGTGGTGTGGTTTGAATTTAGAAATGCTGTTAAGGCAAAGAAAAGCTGTACAGTTCAGTGTGAGACTAGTTTCTGAAGTCTGTAACAGTTGTAGGAGTATTCATTCTGTGAGATCAGAATTCCTGAAATAAATAACATGGGTGTTACATGGATTGGGTTGAGGTCATGGTATTTTGAAATAAAAGCAGTCATTATATTGCTTAGAGCTGCTGTGTTGGGGAATAAAGAATAAACTGAATAGAGACATCTGTCAGTGCTGTTATCGCACAACTCACAAGCACAGTTGTCTTCAAGGTTGTGTAAAGCACAGAAATGCAAAGTTGTGCTTATCAGTTTATGAAAATGACATTTTAATTTTATTGGAAGAATTCTAAACATTAGAAAAGATTGGATTCTGGAACAGTTCTAAAAGAAAGCACAATCTTTCAGAAACTTGACACTGCAAATAAAATTTGGGTGCAAACAGCCAAGCTTAGCATCAAAGAACCACAGTTCAACCCTGAGCTACAAACATTCTCTTCCAAAATTTGGATACCTCAGCCAAAAGTCTAATATCAGAAGGAATATCTACCTGGTTGTGGCTTTTTTTGCTGTTTTTGTTTCTTACAGTGAGCTGATTCCACTCTGCTATTAGAAAAAGTTACTGTTTACGACTTACAAATACAGTAGTATCAGGTTTAGGAATTTAGGAGTGTTCAAATGTTATTTGATGTTATGTAAGAAAAATAGACATTTCAAATGGTTGTGAGGTATGCAAATTTAAAGTACAAATGAATCAGTCAAGACATTGATATGTAAATTTAGCTATACATCAATTTGTGTTATGCATTTAGTATTTAAATACAAAATTGTAGGATCTTGAAGTTAGTTTTGTTCAACCATTTTGTGTCTAAAATTTCTTGTAGGCTGAAGGGGATACCAAGGGTGACAAGGCCAAAGCAAAGGATGAGGTAAGAGGTATTTGTTTACTTTTATGGTTCTTTACTAACATATTTAATGTTGAGTTTTTTCATTACAGCTAGTCTCTTCAACTTATAGCCATTTAATGACCATTCAACGTTGCATTGGCATTGGAAAAAGTGATTTACAAACCATGCTTCCACTTACAACTGATGCAGCATCTCCAGTCATGTGATCAAAATTTTGGTGCTTGGCAATTGGAATGAATTTACAACAAATTTGCAACGTCCTGGGGTTATATGATCACTATTTACAACCTTCTCAGCTGGCTTTCTGCAAGTAGCATCAATCTGGGAAGCTAGGTTCACTTAGCAATTGCATGATAAATGAATCATGGCAAAAAAAAGGTTGTAAAATTGGATGTAACTTAACAAATTGTTTCAACTATAAGCTGAGGACTATCTGTATTACACTTTTGTAGCATCAGTTGTAAGTCTAGGACTAACTGTATTATACTTTTGAATATTCTAACATAAAGGAACCATGCTGATTCTAACACGATTAACTTTTTTCTTATGTTTAAATAGCCACAGCGGAGATCAGCAAGGCTATCTGCTGTAAGTATGTTTTATGATAAATGCTTTTGAGAGATAAGTTAGTAAAAGTAATAATATCTATCTAAAGAACTCTTAATAATAGCATGTATTATTTGTGTCACAATGTTTACACATGTCAAGTGCACAAAGATTTCAAAATTCTTAATTGTACTTATGTTTTTAGAAACCTGCTCCTCCAAAGCCAGAACCCAAACCTAAAAAGGCAGCTCCAAAGGTAAGTTTAACACTGTATGCAACTTGGATTGAAAATGTTTTGTTTCCGTAAAAGTAAATTAATATATCAACTTTTAGCTAACTTACTCTTGTTTCCCAATGATCAGAAAGGTGAGAAGGTACCCAAGGGAAAGAAGGGGAAAGCTGATGCAGGCAAGGATGGAAACAACCCTGCAGAAAATGGAGATGCCAAAACAGACCAGGTATATAATAACTATTAGCACTTAAGTTACTTTATTTTTTGGAAATGAAATGTATAAATTAATGTATGCTGTTTGAAAGAAGCGGGTATTAATCATGTTTCTTGTTCATTTCCAGACAATTTAAAATAATATAAGCATTTGGGGTACACAAATCAGAATAATATGAATCAACAAGCCAGATAGAATCATTGGATCAGATCTTCAGTTTGAATCATCAGATCGAATCAATTTTTGTTTGGAATTACCAAATTGCGTTGATATAGTTCAGAAAAAAAAGTACAGACATTGAGTCATTGTGTTGGTTCATAGAGTCAATTGAATCTCCAATTTTTCCATTTCTAAGAAGCATGTATGAAGTCAGTGACTCCTGCAGAATAAAATTACTATGTGAAATTACATGTATCCAAAAGGAAGCCACCATAGCCTCCCAATCAATATTGTATTTTAAGTAATCACATCCCCAACAAATCCTGAACCTTTCCTTAACAGCGTCTAGTTTTTAAAAAAGCATTTTAATTAATTATAATTTAAAACTATGACATACAGGTACCAAAATGTTTTTTCCTTGACTTTCATGTTTAAAACCTCTAGTTCAACATTCACATATTTAACTCTTGTCATGTTTACAAAACATTACTGTAGGCTTATTTTGTAAATAATGTGTCTATCTTCTACTGGGGAATATAGAACAATTAAAACTGTCAGCCACATTTTCACATTAAAAGTAATTTAGTTATTTTTTTATTTGGTGAAAAACTAGCACATTATTACAATATGTACATGCAGGTATGAATAGAGACGACTACTAGTTATGCAAATGCAAATAAAATGAAACAATTGCAAGATAATTCAGTGGTATAGTTCTGGATAATATTTGAAATATTTTAAACATAATAAAATTATTTGCTTTGTTGCTTAAATCTCTTCCATCAAGAGTGCTTGATTTATTTGGGCAATAGCTACATCTTACATGCAAACACTTGATTTTTTGAACAGTAACTGAACAACGTAAAGTGCTCTCTGATGAACTGCATTTCTTTTTCAGGCACAGAAAGCTGAAGGTGCTGGGGATGCCAAGTGAATTGTGTGAATTTTTGATAACTGTGTACTTCTGGTGACTGTACAGTTTGAAATACTATTTTTTATCAAGTTTTATAACAATGCAGAATTTTGTTTTACTTTTTTTTTTAAAGCTATGTTGTTAGCACACAGAATGCTTTGTTGTTGTGTTTTAGGGGGAGGAGAGGGGACAAGTGTCATTGACTCTGTTACTTAGAATCTGGGCTTTTAAAAGTCCCCCTTCAATTTTGCCAGCGGGAATCTTTATGGGCACAAAGAGGATTTCCTGATGCTGTCAATGTGCATTGGTTTTTGAAATGCTTGAGACAATACTGAAATTCCTAAAATGCCTGTTTGAGAAACATTAAAGCTGTACTTCTCATTTTAATTCTTTCGGTGTCCCTTGCATTTATCACTTCTCTGAGTATCATGTGGCATTTGATACTTGCTGTCATAAAACCAAATGCATTCTTACAGTATCAGGCAATCCAGACTTCTGGTGTCAAATACTGAGGGAAGAAGGATGGCTTATAACTGAGCCACATTTCCTTCTTTATTGTGAATCTTCAGATTAAAAATTCTGCAGTTTTTGTTTTTCTCTTAAAGTCAGGGTAGGTTTGTGAAAAGTTGTTAAACAACATACTAAATGTGAAAGTGTCCACCCTCACTCTAAACTTTCCCTGTTCCAATTAATTGGATTTTATATAGTAACTTTACATTTTGGTAGTGCAAAAAAAAGGGGAGTTGGAACTTGTTGTAAAACATTGCGAATTGTAGCCCATGTCCTGCCTGAATACCATTGATTGATCGTTTTAAGAAATGTACCTTTAATAAAGCTGGATATTGTTTGGCTTTGACTGTTTTTTTTTTCCTTTTCTACTGTCTGTTCATTTCCTACTGCCCTATTTTTCATATTTATATGTTACAGCTTAAATATACATTACATAGTTATCAGTACCTTCTTACAGATGCACAAAGAACGTTCCAGAAGATAGACTTTCATAGACAAATTCTAATTAATGTAATGCTCTTATCTTTCATTGTACATACATAGATAGTAATAGTATAAATGATCCTTAAGTATCTAGCAATAGTGAGAGGAATCTTAAGTTTATGGAAAAAATAGGGAATGGACAGCTGTTATCTGTCCATTAATACAAGGTTAAAGTCCAAGAGTTGTGTCACACAATAAGTAATTTAGTTTTGCTTATTTGTATTGCTACAAAATTCTATTAGACAATACGTTTTTTAAAACCCTTATACAGATAGTCCTTGACTTACAACCACAATTGAGCCCAAAATTTCCATTGCTAAGCAAGGCAGTTAAGTGAGTTTTGCCCCATTTTATAACCTTTCTTGCCACAACTGTTAAGTGAATCACTGCAGTTGTTAAGTTAGTAACACCATTGTTAGGTCAATCTGGCTTTCCCATTGATTTTCCTCATCAGAAGGTCACAAAATGTGATCATATGACCCGGAACACTGCAACCATTAAATACATGCCAGTTGCCACCCATCCAAATTGATCACATAATCATAGGGATACTACAACATTCATAAGTGAAAATTGATTAAAAGTCACTTTTTTTCAGTGTCGATGTAACTTTGAACGGTCACTAAATGAATAGCTGTAAATTAAGAACTACTTGTAATGATAATGTAGAATTGCCTCTTCTCATCTGGCTCTTTATTGCAAGTGTGTTGGTCTATAGTTTCCCAGTTACTCAGTTCTGAACTGAACATCATGGGTTTTAATTATGAGCTAAACATCCCATGCTTTGTAAATTTAAGACTTCTAAATGTATAGTATTTTCCTTTCATTAACCATAGCTGTGTTTTAATAATGCTTCCATTAAAATTATTTATAGCTACAGCCTTTTCTAAACTTTCCAAGTGTGTTTGCGTAACTAGATTTTGTAATAGTGTGGGTTCTTTAAAATAGTTACTGTTAAAGCGATTTAATGTTATGTTGTTGTGCTTGTTCCTAGTGGATTGCTGTTACTCAAAACATCCTCTACCTTTTCATACTGTTGCTCCTGCTAATCCTTTCACCAGGTTGACGAATCATCATTGATTAATACCAATAGTGCTATATTAACCTTCCAGAGGCTGATTGAAATCTAGTAAGGATAGTGAGCTGTATGTCATTGCTCAGCTATTTCAACCCAGCACAATTGTGAGCATATAAATTTATTCGTTCACTTATTTTCTTAGTGGATTATTAGAAAATCCTTATTAAGTACTGAATCCAAGCTTATCTGGTATACATAGCATTATTTACAACAGCTCAATAGTAAAATCAAGATATGCACAAGAACTATAGGTCTTACATATTTTTAATCTCAGAAAAGACATTAAAATTAAGACCTTTTGGTTGTAGTTGTGCTTCGTACTTTTTAATACTCATGTAGCGATTGCTGCAGATTATGATTCAAAAAAATCTTGATGGTGGCCAGGACAGTGCAGTTGAATCCCTGCCTGTTTTTTATGTGCATCATAAAAATGTGTTTCAATCCACTGTCGTAGCTACTATCTTTAACTTTTTTTACCATACCTTGTAGATACCCTTAGATTACTGCATTTGGTTTGGATCATCTTATTTGAACTTTGAGGGACCAAAGTTTTCAAGAAAGTGCTGCATTTTCCATGTAGTTGAAATAACTTATTTTCCTATCCTCACCCCCCCCCCCCCCGATTTTCCTATCGCCACCTATCATGCTCCCCATCACCACCGCACTTAAATCCAAGTACAACACAGCACCCTTATCCCAATCTTCCAGCACTTGGTTCTCCACAGCCACTGCTGCTGGGCTTGAATTCAAGTTCTGCAGGCCCAAATGGCCCACCAATCCTCTTCCATCTTCCTAGCACTTCCTAGTCTTATCTCTGATGGCCTTACGTTTTCCCCTGCTATCTTACAGCTTACAGCATTCATGTTCAGAAGATGCGTGTTCTGATTCCATACCCATTTCACACAAACATTTTGGTTCTGGCATGGACTGCCCCTTACTACCTATTTCATGTATGGAATATTAGCACATTCCTTTGGAAAATATACAGTTGTTAAATGAAATAAAGTTAATTTCTGTTAACTTTCTTTGGTTTTGTATGTGAAGTGGAAATTATAAGGAATTTTCTGTACAAATCAAAGGCTAAGCACACTTTGTATCATACTTTATTAAATGTTACAATGCTAGATAAATTTGGGGGCACAATTTTTTTTTTCAAAATTCTTTGTAATGCTTTGTTGACAAAACTTGCTTATCAGATGAACTTTTGTCTTTTTAAAGTAAAATGATGAAACAATTATATGGTAACAACAGTCTAAATAAAATGCTGTTAATTGATCCAAACACAAATTAAATACTTGTGTTAAACTCAGGACTGTGAATTCAAATTGCAGTTCTCACGGGGACTATAATCAGTGTGTATGCTTCTATCTTTAATTGCAATTACTTAAAATATATTACCTGGAATAGCAAGAGGGCCCTAACTTAACTCTTAAACATGCAGTAGGTAAATGGAGAAAGGATCCAGTAAAAAGTCCATTAGCAATTTTAACTGCACAAACCAGTGGGTTTGGAGACATCTATTTTAATTTTCAGGTTTTATTTTTGCCACAGAAAATTATTTAGTAGCTATGATTACTGCATAAAATGGAGAATTTAGTTTGAGAAGGTAGCATATAAGACAGGCTATATTTTAGATTCAAATTATTTAAAACATTCTCGGCACAATCCTTTCATGTTTTGAATTTTACTACCTTAGTTGATCGATCTTGGTTTAGGTTAGGGTTGGATTCCACTTAATATTATCCACGTTTTGTTCCTCTACCCTACAGATTACCACTTGCATTTGCAAAACCTTTTAGGACACTATTTTTCTGCAGGTGAATATAATGCTAAACAGAACTGCCTATTTTCTAGACATGCAGCAAAGGAGACAAATTCCATTCTAGAACAAGAACAAAGTGATCAGAGTGTTCTATTTCCATATTAAATTAACTGATTTAATTTTTAAGTATATAAGAGTGAAAATGAGCCATATTTATAAACCATGTTTGGCTTCTGTCTGTCACCAGAATTAGTAAATCCAACTTTAGAGTTAATATAAAGCACAGAATAAAATATTTCATCTTCTGAAGAAAGCAAACAAATCCAACAGTAGGGAGAACTGGGATGTGCTCATGGTTAAGCTACCTGTGATCAAATGGATGCTCTAGATTTGCCATGACCCCCTCCCCTCCCAGCAGCAGCATCATGGGTCCAGCCCAGCTATTGTGGATGCTGGTCTGTGTTAAATGTCCCAGAGGCCCAAATACTGTAGAACAACTTTTTTTCTGAACAACTTGGACTTTTGAATTCATAGAAGATATAGTTTGTCTCCAAATAAAATTGAAAAAAGCAAATGGCCATACCGGAAATTCTCAACTTACAACCACAATTGAGCCCAATATTTCTATTGCTATGTGAGACATTTGTTAAGTGAGTGTGGCCCTATTTTACAACCTTTCTTGCCACAGTTAAGTGAATCACTGCAGTTAGATTAGTAACACGGTTGTTAAGTGAATCTGGCTTTCCCAGTTATCTGAACCACATTTCCACAAAACTGATGAGTCTGTCTTTACCTACCTCAGTTTTTCTTGAATGGCATCTGTTCAGATGAATGTGCTGGGCTGAATTTCTTTTTCTCTGATTGTGTTGATTTCTCCTGTTCGAGGGAGTGATATCTAAGCAAAATTGGAAATCCTTGGAAATCACAATTGTTTTTATTACATGTCAGTAGAAGAAACAGAGTAGCTCATTTTACTGAATGTGCATAGTATTCAAATACAAAGCCCCTAACCACCAGGACAGCAGAAGCTAACAAGCTACAGTTTTCCAGGTGGCCACCCCTTAAAGTCTATGTCTGGGAACTATGGAAATATCCCAGTGACTGATGATTTGAATTGGGCGCATTCTATCATAAGCACTGGAGCAT